GGCCTTTGGAGCAAATTTCTCCCACATTCAGTGTCAGTGGTGTGCTGGAGCTGGCTTGGGAGCCTCCGCTGTTATCACACTGGCAGTTTGAAATCAGCCACTATCCAGGTGGGGATAGTGGTAAAGAACCTGCTTGCCAATGCAAGAGACATGAGACACAGGTTCGATCCCTGGGTTGGGAAGGTCCTCTAGAGAAGGGTATGACAACCCACTGTGGTATTCTGGCCTAGAGAATCCTTTGGACAGAGGAGCCGGGCAGGCTACAGTTCATGGTAGTTGCAAAGAGTCGGACATGACTGAAGCGACTTAGCATGCATGCACGGTCTTTATGCCACAGAAATGGGTGAATACTGCAAGTCACTCCACTCCCTGTGGCCAACCAGCACACCTCTACCCTGAACTGTCCCCATCCCTGTATCTCCTTAAACAATTATATTTCAAGTTTAGAGTAAAATAACCACCTGTGTCTGCTTACCCAGTTTAAGAACTAAAGCACTCATCAATTCAGCAGATACCCACTGGATTCCTGTCTCACAAGTGCTTCCCTCCCCACCTGGAGTAAATCACTGTTCTGAATGTTATTATGTTTATCAAGGCCATGCATTTTGGGGTTCTTTTACTACATACAGATGTATTCCTAAACAATATATTGTACTTTGTGACTGTAATGTACTGCCTGTTTAGAAACTTTATATAAATGGCCTCGTAGAGTATGTATTCTTCTGCATTCTGCTTTTTTTCATTCAATGTTGTGTATGAGTCATCCATGTTGATACGATTAGCTTTATTTCGTTTACTTTTACTTATATACAGTATTTCATTGTGTATGTGTGTGCATGCTCAGTTGTTGAGTGGCGTCTGATTCCTTGCGACCCATGGAGTGTAGCCCACCAGGCTCCTCTGTCCATGGAATTTTCCAAGCAAGAGTACTGGAGTGGGTTACCATTTTGTATGACTACACCACAATTTATCAATCCATTCTCCTGTCGATAGGTATGTAAGGTATTTATTTTTGCAATTTTGAATAACACCTATCAGAATTTTTAACCTCAACTGCTGCCTCCTTAACATGTGGGCAAGTTTCTCTAACACCTTACCCGAGGAGTGGGATTCCTGGTGGTAGCGCATACACACCTGCAACTTAACATTGCCAAATTGCTTTCCAGGGTAGCTGTACTTCACATCAAGAATATTCACGGTATCATCATTCATAATAGTACAATTCACATTGCCAATCACCAGGAGAATGGAGAAACAAATATGGTATATCAATACAATGGAATACCACTTAGCAATAAAAGGAACTTAACTACTGCTACCTGCATCAACATCAATGAATCTTGTTGAATAAAAGAAGTTAAAAGTTTAGATGAAGTCCTAAAACAGGCAGAATGAATCTGTGAGAAAAGTGACTGGAAGATCAGTTACCTCAAGGAGAAGGGGATGAAGAGGAAAGGGGTGTGATGGAACGCTATGGGGTTCTAGAAGGAGTCCATGCCTTGGTGTGGGTAGTGGTTACCTGGGTGTATACGTAGGAAAAAAGCATCAAACTATCCATACCAGACTGTGTACTCTGTGCACTCTGTATGTGGGTTAGCCCTCGATTTGAAAAATGTAGGGAAAAAAAAAAGAAAAATGTAGAAAATAAAATCCATAACCAAAGTGGCTGAGCCAGTTTACACCCTGACTGGCAGTGAGTTTGCCACTGGGAGAGTGAGCCTTTTCATTGCGTCTGTCTGGGGAGTGTGGAATGGTGTCCTTCTGTGTTCATTTGCATTTCCTTGGTTGTGGGTGAGTGCAGGCATCTTGAGATGGGTTTGTTGGACATTTGCGCTTCCACTCCTGTCAATGGCCCATTCCCATCTTTTGTCTATTTTTCTATTTGCCTCACTGTAGAAGTTCCTACATATTTTGGAAACTAGTCCTTTGTAGATCATGTATTGTGAATACCTTTCTCCAGTGTATGACAAGTTTTAAACTTGATAACCCAAAGGTTTTAATTTCAATGTGGTCAATGTTATCAATTTTCCTTTATACCCTATGCTTGTTCCACATTCACAAATTTTGTCTGCACTCCAGTGTAATAAAAATATTTTCCTAATATTGTTTTCTAAAAAAATTTCCTGGCAACCCAACAACAAAAAATTTCCAAGTAATGCTGTATACATTTGCATTTTTATCCCACTTAAAATTTCCATTTGTGTATGATGAAAGGTGGGACTGATCTAGTTTCTTTCATTCCACTTAAAAGGACATGAAAAAAAAGCTCAAAAAAAAAAAAAACCACGTGGTTTCTTTTGCACAAAGCTTGGCAAAAGCTGAGTAGACACTATATTCTTACTTTACCTTGTGGTCTTGAATTCCTAAAGGAATCTCCCTTCTGATCTTTTCCAGCCAGGAAAGTTATTTTCTCCCTGCAGTCTCTTCTTCTCTTAGCTCTCTGCCTGCTGTGGAGGTACCGAACACCTGAGTATATAAAGGAATACAGGTTCCCTCCTGGTGCATGCATTTAAAACTTAGTCCAGCCAACTACAGTTACACTCAAAACCTGTGTTATAAATCTGGGGCTTGACTGCAGAGATGGTGCCAGGCATAGCTGGGCTCAAAGGCTATTTGTTGACTAGGAGAATGGATAATGCTGCCTGTTTGTTCCTGCTACTTCAGTGACCAGCTGCGGGGACTTGACCAAGTCATGTAATACCTCCACCTCGGCCTCTTTCTGCACCCTGCCTTGTGTACTGTAGGCATCTAGTCAGGGGTACTGTTCTTCCTGTGTAACCTGCAAGCGTGGCCAAGTCAGGGCATGGAGCCAGGACTCACCAGATGCATGGGTGTGTGTGCACTCACCCACCCCTTCCTTCATTGCCTACAATAAGCTCTGGGGTCAGTCAGAAGGTAGTACACATGTAAGGGTGATGGACATTTTGTTCTTATTTGGTTAAAGCTTTAGGCTCCCAAGCCAGAAGACTGCCTGGGTTTGAGTGCTCACTTTTCTACTTCGAACTGGGAGTCCTTGAGCTAGTTACTTCTCTGAGCTTCAGCTTCCTTGTCTGCAAATGGGTTAAGTGGGTTAATGCAGGTGAAACACTTGGGACTGTGCCAAGCACAGGTCAAGTACTCAGTGAAGGTCAACTATATTCTCATTACCACTGCAACAGAAAATTTTAAGAGGGATTTTTTTTTTTTTTAAGAAGAGGGATTTTATGCAGCAGAAATTTCTGTCACAAGACCCCTGAAAGATGCCTTCCTTTTCTTACAGCTGGGAGTTTTAAAATAGGAAAGAGCTCCCAGGTACTGTTGCCTTGGGCACTATTCCAGTTGCCGGTTTTTCTCTTGCTCAGCTTTGGGTCAGGGAAGAGTAAAGCATGAGCTGCGTGAGGCCCCTGGACAGGCTGGGCATGATTCTTTGAATTAATGACCAAATTTAAAATTAGGAAGATTGTACATTAAAAAACCCCCAAAACACAAAAACTGCTTTTCCAGCTGTCTTGAAAGATCTGGCTGGGCTGTGATGTCATTCCTGCAGAGCATCCATCAGCTAATCCTCTTTAGATGTAACTGGGGCCTTCCTGATGCTGCCATTCACCCTCAGTTGGCTCCCTGGCTGTAGGTATCTGGGTGTGGCACTCCCTGAGAGGACAAGCAAGATACATCACCTCGGATGAGTTGTCCTACGCTGCTGTGGACCAGGGTGGGACTTGTGGGTGTGTTGCTCCTAGAGAAGGAAGAGCTCCAGATAGGGCTGGTGTGGGAGGGTTCCAGGGAAACTAAACCAGGAGGTAGAGAATTCCTGGGCAGCTGAAATGGGGCATCTTCAGGAGGGAGGGGGAAACGCTTAAGCAGCCCCACTGAAGGGGAAGAGAGAGTGGAACAGTTTATGGCTAGGGGGTGCCAGGGTCCCCTCTTGCCCTCCCCTGCCGCCATCACCTCTCTGCCCAGAACCTCAGCAACCCATGGGAGCTCCTGCATGGGGACATTCTAAGGATGGAGACCGGCCCGTTCTCATTGTCACTCTGAGTCCTCCTGTGGACTTACTACTCCAGCGTCTGTTCCTACCCTTTCTCCGATTAATCCTTTGCCACCAAAAGCTAGACCTTGACTCCCTCCTCTCATCCATTAGGTCCAGGCCAGCCTCATCAGCCTGCCAGGAAGGCAGCAGACCTGTCTCCCCAGCTGCCAGGAGGAACCTTAGGCAGAGTGCTTTACAAAATAGTATGATGGTGATGCTGAGGTAACACACGTGGAACACTTAGGCTCAACAAACGCCCATCCCTTTTGTCCCTACCGCAGTCCTTTATTTCTCCCCTTTTACTGTCAGACCTCTACGACGTCTGCAGTAACATCTTAAAAGAGATCTGATACTATCATTCTCCTGTTCACCATTTTTAATAGTTCCCAGATGTCTGCAAAATAAAGGCCCTTCACGAACTGGGCCCAGGCTTGCCTCCTGCGGTATCAGCACGCATTATCTTCTGCCCTGGTCAGAAGGAGCCTCTCTGTTCTGCACTCCTTCTGAGCCTTCGCCTGCCCTCCCGCCTGGAACGCCACCTCCGTTTCCGTGCCTGCCCGGGGTTTCAGCCGGGGGTCCGCTCCTGCCCCAAAGACGCCCTCCCTGACCACAGTCTGACCCACCGCCGGGTCCCTCCTCCGCTCTCCAGGAAGTTTTCCTTTCGCAGTTTAGAAAGAGCGTCGGAAGCGGCTTCCCAGGGAACTACAATCCAAAAGGGGATCCCTGATGTCCTTCGAACTTTCCGGAATCCCTGGACGCCCGCGCACTCCAGCCCTGGTCCACCACACGAAGCAGCCGGTCTAAGTGAGCGCGCCTGCTGGAACCCGGGAGTGGGGTTGGACAGGGGCGCGTCGCGTAGGTTCTCTTCAAGGAGGGGTTCTTTGGCAGAAAAGGAGCGTGGACACCGTAAAGACGGCTTTATTGACAAAGCGCGTTGCCGCCCCGTCGCAGGGGCTTGTGAATGGCGCTCTGTAAGGGATAAACTGAGGCCCTAAGAGCTAAAGGACGTGATCAGGGTCACTCGGTGAGTGGCACGCTCCGCTTGGACCCCTGGACTCCTGGGGCAGGGGGCAGGGTGCGGGGTGCCGAGCGCGCCCCCATCTGGGCGCCCGGCTCTGGGTGGGCGGCTGAGCCCTCGGCCCGGCCCGCCAGAAGGGGCGGGGCCCCGGGCGGGGCCGACACAGGTGCTTCGCATCCGGCCGTGGGGAGGGGGGGGGTGGGGGGGAGCGGCTCGGCGGGGCTTTATAAGCTGCCGCGAGTGCGGCGCTGTGAGCGGCTCGCTGCAAAAATAGTGCCCACGTGTCTGCGCGTCCCTCGCCGAGCCGGTCAGCCGCCCGCCGGCCGGTCCGTCCGTCCCGCAGGGCCACGCCAGCCCCATGGCGTTCCCACTGGTAAGAGCCGCCCGCCGCCCGCCGGGGCGGGGCTGGGCGGGGCCGCGGTCAGGTCCGCGGTAGCTAACGGTCCGCGCGCAGCCTCGGCCGGTACCGCGGTCCCCTCCTCCCCCGCCCCTACCCGTGCGCGCGAGTCCCGGGCGGGGCGCGGGTCACGTGCCTGCGGGCGTGGGGCCTCGTGGAGGGGTGTGTGGCGAAGGAGGGGTAGGGAGCCTCCTCGTGACTCAGGGCCTTTGGGCTTAAAGGCGCCGCGGCCCTCCGGGGGCGGCCGGTGAGGCCTCTGAGCTGCGCTGCAGACTCCTATCGCCCTCGAGTGTATGTCCAGACGGGAGCTGACCGGACGGAAGGGCGCCTCCGCGCCCGGAACTTTTACTTCTCCGGCAGCCGTCGCACGTGAGAGCCGAAGCCATCGGCGCTGGGAGCTCACTTGCCTCGCCACGTCCCACCCGAGCCTCGTTCGTACCGAGGGGCCAGCGGGGGAGGGTGGGGCGGGGCTGCTGGCGGCAGAGGCCCTTGCGCTGGGCCTCGGGTCACGGGAGATCTCCACGACGGCAGTGGGCGCGGCTCCTTTAAGGCGGAGGGATTAGGCCCCCTCGTGCCTTCTGCACGCGCTTCCCCAGCCCGGGAGGTCACGTGGCTTCACACGTTCGGCTGGAGCTGGAATACTGGGGCAGGGTTGGCTAGGTGGGGTCCAGCACCAGTGGGTGGGTCGACCCGCACGTGCAGCGCGGCTTGGAGCTGGGGAGCCGCTCGGGTGAGCTGGGTCCTGGAGGCATAGGCACGGGTTTTGCAGGATATGGAGGCGCCCCAGGCGTGGAGCCAAGCTAGGCCGAGCCGGCCTCGTTTTCCCTAACCCGGGCTCTCTAGGTAGCGGAGAAGCGTGCAAGTGATCTTGGCCTTGTCATCTCCCCTCAGCCCTGGACCCGACCAGGTGCCCAGACTCGTGTGGGAGGCTTGGCGCGGGCCCCCGCTCTAGTTCCGGGTTTGCCTGAGGGGACAGCCGGCTTGCTTGGCCTGGCCAGTCAGGGGTTAGGAAGGCCTGTGCCTGCCTGGAACCCTGGGGGGAGTGGGGACGCAGACCCAGGAAAGTTTGCTCCCCGTGGGTTGTCCCACGTGGCCTCATTCTCTGGCTTTTTCTTCGTGTGGGTGGTGTTTACGGTCAAGGCGACCCTGACTTTCTTGCGTCATCCCCTGAGGGTCCAGGCCAGGGTCCTTGTAAGTGGCTCAGTGCCACCCCCGGGACCTAGAAAGTCCGAGCCGACCTTGGGGCTTCGGAGAAGGTCCTGGTGTGCACGGGTTAGTTTTTGGTGGCGCTCAGCCCCCTGCGGGCCTTGCCCCAGTTTGCACGATGTTGCCCTCGGGAGGCGGGTGCGAAGCACGAGGACTTGGGACAGCAGCGCTCAGAGCCCCGGGGTGGGGGTGGGGGGCGGGGACGCGGAGGCCTGACACCCTCCCCCAGGTGCCCCGCGGGCCGGGCTGGGCTGTGCTTAGCGCTGCGTTTTGCTGGCAGCTGCCTCCCTTGGTCTCCCTGGCTACCGATCAGCCGCCTCGCTCTCTTGCTGGCACCTGAGTACGCGGCTGGCCAGCGTCATGTGCTGGTGAGGGGCGAGCGGGTCGGAAATGGAAGCCCCAGTTGCACCGCCCGCCTCGTATCTGCCCCCCAGGTGACAGCAGTGACATGTGCTAGCTGGCCGCGAGTGTCTCCTGAGGAGTGTGTGCACCCTTGGGCCCAGGTTGAGATTGAGTTTAGGGACCCACGCTGGGCTAAAAACAAAAATACATCCAAATAAGCAGACGGAAACCTTGGAAACCTCGGGCTGGCGGTGGTTTCCCTGGTTGGTTGGTTTTGCTCGTAGGTGGAAGGGGAGTGGAAGGCAGTTCTGCTTCTGGAGCTCTGCGGAGCTCTGGGCTGTCGGCTTCCACACCCCGCCCCCGCACCCCTCCGGGACAGGAGAGTTAAGGGCCAGCCCTCCTCTTCGAGCTTGCCTGGGGCGACACTGTGTTCCCAGAGCCCCTTGCTCTAGAGTTTGGCTCTTGCCACGGTGATGTAATCTAAGCTTGAGCAGTGGTCTGGCCGCAGTGCATGCTCAGTATGTTAGAAGCAGGATGTGAAGCTGGCTGCCCTGTGTGTAGGTCACTCTCTATATTAACGGCGTGGGAATACTTGCTCTCCCTCCTCCCGTGGGTGGCCTTAGGAACATCTCCCTGGCCAGGCTCCCCTTTGGGGAAGGGGAGCTGTTCCAGCCTGTGCAGCAGGCAGGAGGTTAAAGAGCTGGTGCGTGTGCTGAGGGATCGTGGAAACGCAGAGCAGCTTAGATTGGGCCTTTAAGCACTCGATGAAGGCAGGGTTCTATGATCTTGTCTTTGCTGTGATATGCACTCCAGTGTCTGTGAGGCAGGAGGTGGAGGAAGGTGATCACAGCAGTAAGACTCCAGGCTAATGATAATAGCGGTCTTTGTAAGTATTTTCATGGGGTTGCCCAAGTTATTCATTTTGTTTTGAATCATTAAAATGGGCTACAGACCCAAATCCCTACAGGGGCCTGAGGTAACATAAATGAGTATAGGGAAACAAAGAAGAGCAGTGCCCCCTCAACTACAGAATTTGCATAAAGAGCCAGTAGCTGGTTGGCTGTGCAGAAATATGGGGCCAGAGTTCATGGATCTTTTCTTTTTTCCTAGCTAAGCTGCCAGTCTCTTAATTCATAAATGTAATAATTAAAAAATTGACAACATTGTCTGAATCAAAGTCTCTGAAGGTTGTATTCAACCTGAGAGCTAGTTTGGGATCTTTGTCTCAAAAGGTCTCTTTTAGATTTCCCCCTCCCCATTTTGCAGGTGATGAAACAGGCTTAGAAATCAAGTCACAAGGTCACCAAGTGAGAAAACTGGTTGTATGAACCTAGGTCTTTCTGGTGTGGTAGTTAAGCCTATGATATTGTGTGTATTCTAGTATGTTAGAGGGGTCAAGAGGGTTATTGGTGGTATATATTGTACAGAAAAGGTAGTGGTCTGTGGGCTGGTCTCACTCATAGGCAAGAGCGAGCTTTAACTGCATTGGAGGGAACCTGGGTTGCTGTGGAAGTCAGTGTGGGTCTTCGGAGCGTTAGTGCTGTGGTGTTGATGTCAAGAGGAATGTGCTGTGTCTATCATTCTGTGATATGTGTCAGAGCAGTTTAGCCATTCTGAGAGAGCCAGAGGTCTGGAGAAGTCAGGCTCCTCCCACTGTGGGGGTGACCCTCCTAGTCCTCTGCACAAAAGACTGTCCTCTTTTAGGACAGTTAAATTTCAGCTACCTTTTTCCTTTTGAGAAAAGGCATTATGTGAAATATGATTGTTGCAGACCTATAAAAGTAGAATGGGGCATATTAAATCATGGCTTTTCTGTTTTAGGTAAAACTCCCGTAATCCTGTCTCTTAGATTCCCAGGAAGAATTAATAAGGATTTTAGCAGTGCGTGGTAAAACCTGGAATAAGCTCCTAGGACATAAAAAGAGCTCTGTACCAGAAATGAGGGGCTGGGGTTTCATTCTGGACAACAGTTAGAATCCTTCTAGCAATGTGTAAGCCACACTAGCAGATGTAAAAAGATATGTGCCTTTATTTCTGTATCTTATTCCCAAAGGATTTAAACATAAAGAAGTAAAGACCATGTTCAGAGACTTGCCAAAGGGAATTTTTTCCGTGAGAATGCAGACTCAAGTACAAACCAGATAACTTTTTTCTTTTTTAACCTGTGGTCTGGGAAGTTTTGGGGAAGATGAAAACATTAAAGTGTCACCTGTCCCCTCCTGCTGTTTTAGTTACCTTTACAGGCCACTCAGCCATGAATTCACTCTTGTGAATCTGGTGGTGGAGGGGAAGGGTGAGATGACTGGAGTAGGTCTGCCCTGGAATTTTAGTGTTTATTTGCTAGATGATAAGTGTGCAGAATTTCTTATTCATTGTTTTCAGCTAAATGACTGTTTCCTAAAGTTGTTATGTGTTTGTTTAAAAGGCAGGTTAATTAGTGGGTAGTATTTCTGCCTTTAAATTTTGGGATAGAGATGCATACCAAACCCAGGTATTCACACTTAGGCTGCTGTCTTCAGTAGCTAGTGGTTGGAGGCAGTAAGAGAATCATGAAATCAAATAGCAAGGTATTTTCTCTTCTGTGGAAGAGCTGTGCTGATCCCTGTTCTGCAAATCTGCTTTTCCTGGGCAGTATCTAAGCTGTATAGACTCTGGGAAGAGCTTGCCAGAAAGCCCTGGGGTAGGGGATGCGGGATAGGAAAGAGGGTTGGGCTTAGAGGTTGGAGTGGAGGAAGTCACACAAAGAATTTTTGCTCCTCTCTGTTTGAATTAAACCAGGAGGCACTCATTGCACCCTTTCAGTATTTGCGTTCTGCTGGCCGCACCTCGTTTGCCCCCCACACCTGCTGCTTTGCGAATGCTCTTTGTTTTCTTTCCTGCCAGTGTTGCAGCCTGATTTTAGTTATACCTGCATGAGAGCTTGTCATCCTCTGTAAGCTCAGATTCCAAATGCTGGAAATTTTTATGTTCAAGATTGGACAGCCGAAATGAGGCATTTTTCAGTTACAGTAAACTGGCTAAAACGATTGAACTTGAAGGTATATATAATAAATAAACATTTCATATTTCTCATAGGAAAATTGTATGATTTCCCATAAAAAGCCATTTCCAAATTTGAGAGTGTTAATTTTGCATTGTTGGCATAGTTTTCAGTTTCATTTTTGGGATTTAAAAAGGCTCTTGTTAGGGATTAGTTTGTCTTCTTAATATATTGGTTGGCCAAAAAGTTTGGGTTTTTCTGCAACATCTTCTTTTTGGCCAACCCAGTAGAATGCAATTTTCAGTAACGCAGGTGTGGAGGAAATATTCCTGACTAAGTAGGGTTGAGCTTTACTTTCAGTGATGCAGAAGAATGCTTAGGCATGTATAGCCTCTGCATTCTGCTTTAGTTTTCAGTATTTCTGTATGGTTAGAGTACCGTTTTCATTTTCGACTACAGTGAGTTAACACTCTCTTGTGATTTTTAAGGCATTTTGTGGTGACTTTCCTTGAAGTAACTGGAGAATTCCCAGAGGACAGATCTGAAGATTGATTTGTGTGCTAAAAATGGGTCACAGTTGCACCTAGCTGCTGATTCTGGGAGTAACTTGACTTCAATAGTGCTACTGGTTTCCTTATTTTTGGCCAGCGTAATGTGCTGACAAAGGTCCCATCCTGACAGGTTTAGCACAGTGGCCTGAAATCTCCTTTGATGAGGTGTGGGAGTAGCTCTCCCCTTGTGGAAGCAAAGCAGTTACCTTGAAGGGCAGGTTGGGGTTTTTTGGTGTCTTTTGACTGAACACTTAATCTCTTACTGCCTAACACCTGTGCGCTCTGCATTCTGGCTTTGTGCTGCTGGGTCTGACACCATCTGTCTCCTGAGTCTGCCCTTTCTCCTGAGACT